AGCAGGAATTGCCTGGGTCTTTTGTTCTTGCCAATCACCAACCTTGCCAATTGACTGATTTACAGGGCTGTCTATGAAAATACCTACCTGTCAGGAAAATTTGTTAGGCAATAGAAACCCAGCCAAACCAGAATCTTACTAATAAATAAACAAACAAACAAACAAATAAATAAATCTGCAATTGGCTGCAAAGAGTTTACATACGAGTACAGCCTCCTTCTTCGAAGTTGTAAAATCCGTGTGCACAGCGGTCACACTTCCTTCCTGTCACTCCAGGCTGGCAGTAACACTGTCCATCTCCATCGCAGTCGAAGGACTTGGAACCAAAAGAGTTACAGTTGCAGGGCACACATCCTCTTGAAGACTGTAAGCCAAATGTTTCAGGCTGCCACAGAGAGAGGAAGAGCAGTTAGTACATGGAATGATTACCAGGAGAAAAGAGGAAAAGCTGAGAGTGTAGGGAGATCAGGGTGGTTCTTTGTCTTCATCACTGAAATATTACTCTTAACAGATTGACTTGTAGTGGTAAAACACCGGGACAAGGGCACTAAATACCCTACACAGCTGAAAAAGAATAAAGATTTCAGAATGTTACCTGATGCTATAATGAATGTTCTGCAATGTAATGCATTTTCCAAGAGGTTGTTTTTCCATAAGTACAATTCCCACAAGAAATGGAATGTATGTCAGTGCCCCATACATATCCTGTGTCTGGGTTGTAAGATTATGTCAGGCAGAGCTTGTTACTAAGAGAGTGAATTCAAATTCTTAGCTATGAATGGAGATTGATTCAACTGGAAAGCCTGAACAACTAGAATTTATCTCCTCTGACCAGTGGCAATGTCTGTATACAGTACTCTGTAACTCGAGGACATTTCTTTTGAATGATACTTAGGAATAACTTTAGAAGAACATAGATATAATGTATTTGTGTACATTACAAGCAAATAATGGGAATTATCTGTTTTTAAGATAAAAACTCTGTCTTTGGGTTAGGTCTAAGACTAAGAAGTAATCAATGAACCTCAGTTTCTCTTCTATTTTCATTCTTCGCTTTCTTTTGCACTGAGTACTGTAAAATTCCTACAGAACCAGAATAGATGTTATCAACTACAGTAACAGATTTCCTCTGTAACTCCACTAGTGGACTGCAAAAAGTATACTTGTAAATAAAGGAAGACACATGCTCATTTGTATACTGTAATATGGAGTTCTGCATGAAGCTTTTAACCAACAGACCACATGGGTTTCACTGCACCAGCTAACAGCGGCTCGTAGGAGCAAACTGTACTTGATATTCAAATTCTGAACTCAGTCTTGAGCTAGAGTGACATAAAATGGGAGTACTTTCCTACTTTTTTTCAGGTATGATGATTTTCAGGGAATATTGAAATCCAAATCATATTACTAACTTCACTTGAAATTCATATTACAACATTTAATAGTGAAAATCTATCAAAGACTTCACTAGGAAAGCAAAATGTTAAAAATGAGATATTAAAAAGATCACTGCTAATGAATATAAATGGAACAAAGTGGAAAATATTTACTTTTACAATGTACTACTGTGTGACCAGGCATGTGGTGGTAGATTTTTACCTAGTGTACATCAGTACAGATTTTTCAAGTCAGTGGAGCTGACTTTTTGCATGGATTTGTTCCACAGTGGAACACCTAACTTCTTGTGTAGGTGAATTCCCAGAGACTCCAGCAGGCTTCCACGTAAAAGTCCTGAAATCTGATCTCTGAGGTTAATATTGAAGTTCCACATTCCCGTAGAGAATCTGCTGATAGGTGTTAGAATACAGGACCACACCTACAGTCAGAATTTGGCCTGAAGAATATACGAACCTAAGCAAATGAAATGCTTGATTATACATATAATAAAGAATTACACTGATTTTCATTTCCAAATTCTATATCAAAATGTTTTGCCAATTATATACTTCTGCACGACAAAACATGGTGTATCAGAGAGAAAGAAATACTCAAACTCATATAATTAAACTCCAAGGTTCAATCAAATATACAGATTATCTCTAAAGAAACACACAGAAATGTGAATATGCAAAAATTGCAGGACAGACATTCTGATTAATGCAGTGAAGTAACCAGTGCACAGCATGCAGCTCAGTTCTCAATAGAAAGTTTGATAGGATCTAATAAATTCTGTTTATAAGGCTGAAAGCCAGAAAAGGTCTGATACACTAGCACTCCACACTGCGTGAAGGAAGAAAAGATCACTAGCATGCTGGGTTGTATTCTGTGATGAGCTCTGCACAGTCAAAGACAATTTGATCAGTCATGCAAACCCCCGAGATGAAGCCCCAAGCTGAGCCCTCACCGAAGCTTGTTTACACACAGAAATTCTATGAATCACATTTACTGAACAAGAGATAAGGTCCTGGATGACAATGAGGAAATACAATGAATTTTCTGAGTATGTTGTTATATTTTGTCGCTGTATCACTGTATATTGAGTGTTTTTACGGGCAACACAGTTACATAATGTATGTTAACTGGGTAAAAGCTCATGTTCTCCAAGGGAATCCATATGAGCAAATATGGCATGGGTCCCAGAGTCTGGCTGAGAAGACAAAACACTGCTAGGTATTTTTCAAACCAGGTGTGATAAGTGTGGAAGTTTTGAGTTGCAGGGGAAAAAAACCCAACATTCCTAAAACACTGTTCTTTTAGAAGCAATTGCATCATAATTACTTCATTTTAGGAAGTAAGTTGCTTTGTTGGTATGTGACAAACAATGAATACTTCTGTTATTTGGGGCATTACATTCAAATAAGGGGCACTTCGCCTGGTTAAAAATGGCTCAGATCACTGGCCATATTCACTAATGAGAAATTTTAATGCCAGTTACGCTTGCTGTTTCAAGATTAGATCTTAACACTTTGCCTCTGGGGCTGATCCTTCTTGCAAACTCCTTAAGCTTTTGGTTCTTGAATTGTTAGAAGGGGAAGTTATATCCTGCTGAAATGCTGAAGGCCATGAAAATCCCACTGATTCCACTGATGTATGTACGTCATCCATACATTTTGTGCATACTGCTGTTGATGGTGCTGCATTTGGACTTATTCTGCTATTTGACTTCTGCCCTACATTCTCATTTGCACTATGAGAAGCCCTAGAAGTGGGGAAGTATCCTAAAAGGCTGCCTGTCTTCTGAGCCTGTGTGTTTTCTTGGTAATTTCTTATATTGTAACACACACGTACTATAAAATTAAAAAAAAAAAAAAAGTCTGCGGGAACTCCAAACACAAGCAAATATGAGATTTCAGCCCATGCAATGCACACAGTTTCTGTTTACCAGAGTTGCAGACCGGTAAGCACCCCGTGGGCACCCACTGGCACTGCTGATGCCCCATCTCCGAGGGGGGACTCGGATCTGCTGGCTGTTTCGTGCGTTTTCTTTCAATTTAGGCACCTGTCTGCTGATTTCACAGCGTCTGCCCATGAATCCTGATTTGCAGATACATCTTCCTGACATATCACATTGCAGTGACATGGATCCTAAAGCACTGCAGCCACAGGGTATACAGAACAGCTTTTCTGGGGCCCAGAAGTAGCTGGGCTTTAAGAATGAAAAGTAAACACTGTTAGAAAGTGAAGATAAAGAAACTACAGCAAATAAAAGAGTACAGGAATAAAGATAGTAGTAAACACAGTAGTAAACAAAGATTAATTCCAACCAATGGCCAATATTGTATCAACAAACTTGACATATTTTCTGTGTACATTATGCAATCTGTGCAACTTCCATTGATACCCACAATTTTTCTTTGAACAAACTCTTTAAATACTGTTGAAAATAGAGTGTGAGCAAACCTCTTCAGAAATTACACAGTTTACACAGGGCAAAAATAATCCTTATGATTTCTGCAGAATTAGTTATGCGCTTTAAATTACACACACGCGGAGGTGTTCTGAGGACACAGGCCTAACTCACAAGTCCTCGGTCTGAGCTAGAGAAACGTGCAGCCAGCTATAACATATTCCTTTGCAGCCTAAAGAAAACTCTGTGAAAGCTCATGAAACACTGTTTTTTTGCAGTGATTTATGAGACAGTAAAACAACGTCAAGGCAAAAGACACTTCCACCAAACAAGAATACATTATTTGGACAATACAAGGAGAACCCCTAAGAAAAAGCATAACAGCAGACCATTCACAGCAGAAGTAAACTAGCATCATGCTTTTTTGGAGAATCACATGTCTTCACAGAAGGGTTTTCCCCCAGAGCTGCAACATTTTTAACTAATTTATTTATAACAAGCATTCAGAATACAAAATGTACATACCACATATAAAAATGTATTTATACATACAGTGAGGCTTAAAATATATTTGCATGCAATATTCTGTATTTTGTTCTAGAAAGCCTTGGAAAACATTTAAAAACCAGCCATTTTACCATTCTGTAGATCAGAACAATCCATATATGTTCTTTAAGTGAAAAATGAGCAAAAAGGAAAAACTAACCAAACCGAAACTGTGTTTAGTCATGAGAAACAGGGAAGAAAACTGAAAGGAAACAGCATTTCTTGTCACTCACCTGGCAGACGTCGCACCGGCGCCCGATCACATTGGCTTTACACTCGCACTGGCCTGTCCGAGAGTCACAGATGTCTGAGAAGGAGCCATTGATGTGACAGTGACAGGCTGCAGAGGAAGAAGAAGGAGCTGTCAATGTATTTCCTAAAACACGTATGCTGCTGAAGCTATCTTTAATAGACAAATGTTTACAGTGTGGCTTTTGCCACCCTGAGAAACCCAAGAAAGCAGGCCTGAGTAAAGGAGGAAGGTGTTACTCCCATACGGTGACAACACACATTAACCTACCCATATTAATGTGGAATTTTGCTCCAAATTATTACAGTGAGAAATTTTGCCTCGACTTCATAAACAATTTGTTTTATATGTGCCTCACAGATCAAAAGCGGATGTTTAGGGCACATTACTGAGTACACGATGATAGAGAATTAAGGTTTTAAAACAGTAACTGCCTTTACATTTTAATTAATGCCAAATTTCCAGACCGAGGGGGTGGTGGGGAAGGCAGGACTCTCTCCCCCTCAGAAGCCACTCCCTCAGAACAGCCTGGCCATTGCCCCAAACCTCGGAATGGGCAGGGCGGCGCTAAGGGAAGAAAAAAGGGTACAGACCCTTACGCAAGGTGCATATGGGATTTAGCTATGGCAGGTGGGAGTCCTACTGCAGCACACGTTGGCCCTGCTGCCCTGGAGTCCAGTCCGTGTTAATGTAGTAGGAAATGTTGGCAGGCTGAGGACCCAGAGCAAGGCTACCTCCAGGGGCTTCGCTATAGGGGCAGCAACCTCCTCAACCACGCCCCGCCAAGAGCTCCTCCTTGCAGACAGCACCCTGGGCTACAGCTGAAAAAGAGACCAAGGATTATCTGCTCCCATGACTCGCTAGTACCGCTGTCTCGGCAACAGCATCACAGCTCCCAGAGGAAACCTAACCCAACTGACCAGCCGAACTCATGGCAATGCTCTCTTAAGGATTTAAAATGGCAATGAAAAGGAACTGCTGTTTCTTGAGGAAAATAACAATGCTTTTGGCTTCTGAATTCTCATGTGTTAAGAGAAGAGAAAATTTTGGGGAGCTTTCTATCACCCTTTATGTTTTTTGTCCACAATTCTTTTGGCATGCAGAGATTAGGGAAAAAAATCCCATTAGCAGTCACAGTAGAGAAGAAGGATGTGATCAGGTGTCACAGGGACTGTGACCATGCAGTCACCAATTCCATCAGCATGAGCTGGTTCCTGCGCGTCCTTTTTTTTTTTTTTCCCAGAGGGGAATGAATCCACATCTCTATATTGATTATCAATGTACTCTGTAAACCAGGGCTCCAATCCACTTTTTGCCTTCCTGCACTGCCCTGACTGCATGTGTTGGTCTTTTTCTCAACTGACAGCTTCATTTTAAGAAACACTTAAGAGTCCCAACAGTGAACACATGGTGGTCACATACTTGCATGTGACAAGGTGCCATTTGACACACAGCAGTTCTATTTTTTTTCTATATATAGACTATTACAACAGGAGCTTCCTCATTACTTTATTGGACTTGCTCCATTGTAAATGGAGAGGATTATTTTCTGTTCCCCCCCCCCACCCCCCTTCAGGTATTCTGAAAAAGTTGCTTCTTTTAAATGAAAGTGACTTTATGGGTTGCTGGTCTGTTCATGGCCTTATTTCTCACCTGTTTGCAAAGATGTCTCATATTCTGGAATAAGTAACAAAAATATGTTGGGCTCTCCTATCAGTCTGGTAACACTTTCAGAGGTTTGATCTCTTTCTGTGTTGCAATGTATTTTAAAAATGTAAACACTTAAGAACACTTCTGCTGTAATGAACATAGCTTCTCTTTTCCCTTTACTCTCACACTGTACACAGCGATGAGTATCACATATATTTTTTGAGTATCTTTTTAATTAAAATGGTCAACAGTGAAAGATGATGTGAAAGCTCAGACTCAACGAATCATGATTCTCAATGCAAATTAACAGTATTTCACCAACCTTTTTATACAGACCTCAAAAAACAAAGCTTGTCTTATTTGAATTGCTTTTCTTACCAGGCATATGAGACCACAGGAATCAAAAAGAAAATTTACACTGATTTTATAAACAGGTGAGTTTGTCCTACTTACATTATATATTACCACAAAGAGCATACCATGTATTCTTAACTCAGCCACAGATGACTGAGTGCAATACAGTGGTAAGGCAGAATTTGGAAGTCAAGACTTTGTTTTTCTTGGCTCTGGCAGTACGTACATACAGAAGAAACATACAGTCAGGGCTATTCATCTACTAAACTGTTACTCAATCTGATAAATCACATTTATCTACCTAAAGCCTTCCCATCCATTCACCTCTACTGGGAAAATTAGCTATTATCCAAAACTCCAAATGGTTGCCATAATACAGTACAGCCTGTCAGAGAAATTTGTCTTACTTTCTCCCAAAATGACACTGGTCAAGGCCCTTCTCGTTCTCTCTTGATTTGTATAAATATTTATGTGTGTGTATTTGTAATCAACCTACACACCTACATGCCTCCAGCAGTAGCACCTATGCACTGGCACATAGGCACACTTGAATATTTGGTTTAATTCATCTCATGTCACTTAGCTCTATTACTATCAGCACAACCCCCAATATTTGCTTCAGCACACTGTGCTGTTTCACACCAAAAAACAACCTACTAGAATCAAATCAAATAAGCCTAGGACATTTGCTCGGTGTGCTTAGATTTATTCTTTTGTACAGATACACCAAGAAATTCAGAGACGCTATAGTGATGTAAAGTTGTACTGTTATTTGAAATGGTTAATGCACATGACAACAGCACTGTACTGAGATAGAACAAGAAACATTTCAAACAATAATTTGAAAGCAAAATTCATGCTTTGCAATACTCTTGGATTTGGCTTTTTAATAAGGACTGAAATTGAAAACAAGAAAGTAAAGGCACAGTCCCTCTGATATTGTAGCTGCAGGGCAAACTTCATGGAAGTCTGCAAAGGAAATAAAAAATCGTATGCAAAAAAGAAAACCCACATGAAAGATGGAGAGTAGATGAATACAAGGTAACCGCGAGCACAAGGCTATGAATACATTAGGGGCTCTCCTTGTCAGTGATACTAACAACAAAAGCAAAGCTTGTAATTCTACATTAAATATGTATTCATTTTTAATACTTTTTTTTTAATTGTATGTTTTCTGAACTCTCCTCATATTACATCTCTTTCCCATGCAGCTGCCACTGCTGAAGAAATGTTCAAAGCAACAGTCCTATTGATGCCTCAGGAATGGTGACAAGCTACTGGAAGCTATGATTTTTGAAACACACTTCTTTTTAAATCCCATTACACACTTAACACCCTAACTTATATGACATCATTCATCACAAACTGTTAACTCGTGCAGAGAATATATGTGACTGTCCAACTTTTATCCAGCATTTTATAAAGTTGGTACAGAAAGCATTTACGCAGGTATATGTCTTCATGGCTATCTATGATTTTGCATGTATCGGTATTTATTAGCCTTAGCTGAGAAACCTGGTGATGTTCCGCATCTCACTGGCTCCTGCGCAGTCTTAGGTCGTCCAACAGAACTTAGTATCCTCACTGTCAAACTGCAAGCCACTAATAGAGCGAATCCTGGAAATGGGTGCCAGTGGCTCAGACTTCTGTGCTTGCAGCACATGCTGTAGAAGTGGTCCCTGTGTTCCTACATACATGGCAGTAAGACAATGGCCCAGCTCTTTTACTTGCATAATTTTATCCTGATATAACACCTTGTACTCAATGGAGTTGCTCTGAGTTTATTCCAATGAAAGAAAAAGCATTGGATCTGTGTGACAGTGAAACTAAATACTCTGCTCTTTCAGGACAGTTTACAACCTATTGTATTCCATTCCTCAGAACGGGGTGGAAGGCTATGTGAACAATTTTTTTGAAGTTAAAAGCACTTGTTCCACCTAATAGCTGTGTTCTGAATTGTGTCCGCAATGGCTGAGAGAGAGCCACTGCCTCCTACAGAAGCAAAAGCTCTGGCTCCTGCCAAATCTTCCACCCACTCTAATTTCCTGCTTTCACTATGGGGAAGCATGAGCTGGGCCTCATACTTCAACAAAATGCCACCAGTCAGCTGAGAAATGGCAGCTTGTTGCAGTGCCGGGTACCTTCCTCCAGAGCACCTTAGAAAATTTGTCAGGAGATTTCAGACTCCATTGCAGGAGGCAGGAGAATCTCGCCCTGTAAGAAGCAGCAGCTCCCAACTGTTACCGAGGTCACATAGGTGGGAAGGAGGTCACAAGTGCTGCCAAAGTTGGACGCTACAGTAAATGAAATATCACTCCTTTCAGCACAAATCTCACTAGTTAATGGGATTTCCCTGGATGGCTTATAGCATTTTTAGTGAATTGTTTTCATTTATTTGTATTTATTTTTGCAGATCTGACATTTAGTATAACCTTTTGCATCCATGCAATGCTCTACTCTCCCCATTTTTTTTCCATGTCTGCTTCATCACTGCTTCAACTACAGCAGGAAGTTTTTTTAATAGGTTCTTCTTTCTGTTTACTTTGAAGTCTCCCTTTCCAGATGCAGATGCAAGTAAAACACTATTATTATTATAGGTGTAAGTACACCGTATCACTCTCCTGCTCACACGTACAGAGGCACAGTTTTCCTCTCAGGAACATCGATATAGGATAGATCAATACTGTCAGGAGCAGTAAAAGTTCACAACTTACGTTGACAGTTCCTTGCATCAAGAGCATCGCCAAAATATCCATCAGCACACCTCTCACAATATTGGCCTGTTGTACCTGGCTTACATATCAGGCAAGCACCAGACAAGCTGTCACAGCTGCCAGGAATGGAGAAGTCAAGGTTGTCATTACACTGGCATGGCTGGCACGATCCCCCTGGTATTAGAGGTTGTCCAAAATAGCCTTCTGCACACCTAAGGTAAAAGACATCACCAGTTAGGACCCTTAAATAATCCTCTTATTAGAAATATTTAATTTTATTGCCTTACTAATCACCAGAAACGATCTGATCTTCTTTCAAGTATTTCTTAAGCGTCTTTTTTCTCTCTCCCTCCTCCTTTTTAACAACACTGTAGATACACTACCAGCTGAAATCCTGCCAGTTCTGCTAGTAATTAGATTTCAGTGGGAGAAAAATCTTGTCACTGGCACTGAAGACGAGACAAAGCATAATAAGAAATCTGTCTATTGGCACACTAGAGGAATTCAGGTCCATGTTAGATAGGCTTTGTATTTCAGCACATCATGTCTAGATGTTCTGTACTCATTTACCAGCAAGCTTGATGATTTTTTCCCTCTACCTTAAAAACTTATTTAGTTTAGAAAAACAGGTTTAGAAAGTAATACAGACATAAATTTGTTTACCTAACAAGATCCTCCCCTGATTTAGCCTCCCCCGGCTCTAGCCTGCCCCCAGTCAGATTTGTTTAATTAATGGATTGCTAATCTCTGTGTACAGGCAGGTAACAAAGAGATTGCTCATTATCACTGGAACTATGTTGGTGTGTACTACACCTTTCATATTTTAACAGAGATGTTTAAAAATACCACCTTCTTTTCCACCTTGCCCACCAGCAATTTCCTGCGAGTACCATGTAAAACAGGTTAGTGTATCTGACCTAACATAAGTGTGTATTTAAAGCAAATTTCTACTCATCTCACAGTCTATTTCCTATTTATATTCTGGTCTGCTTTCCCTTTCCATTACATCTGCTCAGACTTCACAGTAAGAGCAACTTGCAGATAGTGAAGAAAAAGAAGAAAAATTGCCCAGTTCCAGCTAATGAAGTAATTCATGTGCATTCTCAGATGAACTCCAATTAGTGTAAAGAAAACAGAAAGTACATAAAACACATTGCATAAATTAATGTTTCCTACTATTTTAAAGTCAGTTTGAATGCAGTTCTAATGTACATAGACATCCTCTCTGCTTTGCAATAGTACTGGACCGTATGGTTGAGCAAGGATTTTGGGCACCATCCTAATACAGCAATGCAGAGCTCCACTATGCTTTCACTCTTGTCCCTTTATTCTCATCAAATTCATCCCTTTCCTCGCATCCAGAACGTCTCCTGAAGCTTCCAAGTGGACCCTAAACAAAGCCATCTAAACATTTATTAGATATTATTCAATATCATTAGCAAAATTATATAAATGGTTGACTGAGACTAGGGAGGAAATTATAGCTGGATCTAATTGAACAGTGTTTTGTAGTAAGATATTACACAAAGTAGGATTTTTTCCATTCTCTAAAAATACCTACAATGCAGACCATAGATAAGTAATATGTATAAATAGTCCAGAGGTTTGGGTGCATATAAGCACTCAAGAACATGAGTAAAATTTTCACAGTCTAGCCTACTGTCCTTTACTCGTTTAGCATAGCCATCTCTCACAATTACCTCCTCATAGCAACAATACATCAAAATCTTGTCATTAGAATAATTCAGGCATTTTATTTTCAGAACCTGTCACGACTGTAGCCACATATTGCACCTCCTTGTATTCCCTGCAAAGAAACAGATATTTTTTCCTTGGATGGAGGATATCTCAGCAACCAAAAAAGACTCATTTTTAGCTTACTGTCACCGAAACAAATTGGCTTTTTTCCAGCAATGACATCTCAGTTACAAAGGCCAGGAATGTCTCTTAATACATGTAACAATTAATAGCGATGTTTTATCAAAGCCAAAGAGTAACTGGATAATTTATGCAGTTACCTTATTTTACCTAAAATGGATGATGTGTGAAGTTCACCCATGCTTTGCTGAGATCTTTCTCACTTACTGCTGGCGTATTTGTCATAAATCTGTATCTTTTGGTACTATTAATCTATTTGACTTCACTTAATGTGTATTCCTTTTCCTCCCTCACTTTAATTTAGGGGTTAGTTCTGTATCTGACAGCATTCACAGAAACTTACCAAGCAGTTCACAGAAAAAATACTCCTAGGATTTGTGAGAAATGCACTGCTAATCATTTCTTTCTATTAATAGCAGGAGACCTTGGTAACTCTTTGTATTCTCATCAGTTTAGACTTTGCTAATTAAAATTAGCAAAACCCACTACCATCACATAGCTATGTTCTACTTATATGCGTACAGAATCTCAAATCCAGCTTCAATATGATCCTGAAAGTAGGGGTAAGCCAGTTAAGCTTAAAAGAAAACTGTGTGTGTCTATCTGTGTAAATTTTTCCACTTTTTCTCCCACTTCTCCTGAAGTTGTAGGG